TTTGAGCGCGCGGTGCTTTCTGAGAGACGCTTTTCTTCTCATCACACTTCCAGAGACTGTTTGTTTGTTTGTTTCACCATTCTGACTGAAACTCCAGAGACTTCAGTGCATGGAAATCCCAGGAGAGTTGCAGTTTTAAAAATACTCAAACGCTGCCATCGCCAATCGTGGCACGCTCACACTAACTGAAGAAGAAAAAGAAGAAAAAAACAATAACACATTATTCCTTTATTCTGCTGTTTGGCACAGAGCTGGTTTGTCTCATGGGTGACATTGCTCTTTGCCCAGGGCGTCAGTGTATCAGATGCAGCATAAACACTTGGAATAAAAGAGAAGTGCAGCCTGATCAACATTTCTATTGCTTTCATTAGATAGAGGACAGTCAGTGGACTACAGAATGAAATTGACCAGCTTTAAGTCATCAGCCAACTAATATAAACGTGCTGAACTGAATGAAACAATACTGAGCAGTTTTTAGAATAGAGTGTGAAATGTTTAATATCTGTTGGTTTAAACAGGGGTTCCCAAACGTCACTATGCCATCGCGGCCCACATACCATTAGCTTCTTTTCTGATATATAAAGAAGCTTCCTTTTTCTCACTTTCATTCATATTCAATGATTATTATATTAGTTTAAAAGCGGCCCCACCTTCTGACTTTAGTCGGCCATAACAGGGCTGCATGCTGGACGGTTCCTTCGGTCTTTTTCTTGACAGAAACTTTTCTATTTCGCGCTTTCTATGCTAGCTTGAGGAGAACAGCAGCTTTATAAATTTAATCAGTAATCAGAAAGATTACGCAGCCCCTACGAGGACAATAAACGAAAAACTTTCTCGTGCGCACGAGAACGTATCTGGTCCTTAGAAGAAAGTTTATTTATTTATTTATTTTTAAGTTATTTTTTCTTCAATGTCCCTTTGGGGGCTCCTCAGAAAAATAGATTCATATTTTTCATTTTGCTTTTTTCCCCGCATCTTCCCTCCAACTTTTTGAGCGCCCCCCGGTGGCACACACTTCGAAAAACACTGGCTTAAAAAACACCAATGATGGCAATTTAAATGGTTCTTTCGTCTCAAGACAATCTTAAAGGGATTGCTGAAAAGTTTTAATCACAAGTCTATGTTTCAACATTCTTTCTGTACTTATCAGTTTTCAACAAACGAACACTTGTATAAACACTGCTGTCTGACAAAACACCATAACATTTGTGGTGGAATACCCCTGTCCGATCATAGGAGAAAATAACCACATTTTATCCTCTACAACAGGCCAGCTAAGAGAAGGGAAACACGCCCTTAAACTCCAGCATCAAATGGGACGTGATGATACAATCTGGACATTTATATATATATCCATTCAGCCTGACTGATTTCCAACCAATCACATCAAACAACCACGAGCCCCATAAGGTAGCACGAAGGCGCGCGCTTCTTCTGTGTGCTGCGACAAGTGTTTCACAGGTGTTGATGGCGCGAGACAGTCAATAGGAACGGAGCGCGAGCTGTGGCGCGTGCGGGGCAGCGTGCATCCCGGTCTGATGACTGCTCCGCTCCACCTGGAGCGTTTTCCCTGCAACCAGAAGAAAAGGCTTTATGGAAGTATTGGGAAGTTGTTCCTCTGTTCACACAAAGCCCGCGTCTGTTAGGACGTTTAGATAAGAAGGATAAGGAATATTTTGCATCATAGATATTAGCCAACATCGGGTTAGTCATGTCACTCTCTGTTTACTGATTGGTTTTTATCCATCTTCTTCATTAAAAAAAAAAAAAAAAAAATGGATTCGGTATCTGACCTTTGATGTCACGACAACTCAGATGTGCCTTCGGGTTGGCTGCTGTTTTATATATATATATATATATATATATATATATATATATAAAGCAAAATTAACGTTTATTCATTTGAAATGCCCTTCTAATCTTAAACTGACTGCAAAAATTAATATACCGTACATAAATTAAATACGAAATACAGATTCAAGTGAAATCTGTACGTAAAAATCGACCTATACTGACTGACATGAATGCAGTTTCGTCTCTCTTTACCTACAGGCTGCTCTGCTGTCAACCATTACCAGACCTACAGAAAGAAACCAGCAGGTGGATCACTTTACAGCGCTAGTTTAGGTCTAACGATCAGACCCAGAAATGACATAAACTACTTGAATGGACACGTGTTCATTTGCGAAGCCAACCGAGACACGGTGGACAAGTTTAATTGATTTAACTGAGGCTCACCCAGAGGATGGGAGCGGAGCCCCTGTCTGTGCGCAACGCACATTCTCTGCGCGCATTGAACTCACCTCTGTGCATTTCTTCTCCCGGTGCAATTCCAAAGCGCCCTCTTCTCAAAAATCTTCCCCTGATCTGGGCATTGTAAACCGGGTCACGAAAATCCAACTTTCCAGCAACAGTAAATCCATCACAGAGAAGCGCGCCCGCAGCCGGCAGCTTTGGAAGCAGCTGGAAATCCCGCTCCGCTCCGAACCTCAGCCGGGCATCCTCACCTCACACAGTCCGATCCGCTTTCGGCTGGAGCGCACCGAAGACGGGCAAAGAGATGAGGAGGCAGGGGTGATGCGCGCGCGAGGGGGGAAGGATGCTATCCAAAATGCGCACGCGGATAGAGTAATAATGGAGACAAAGGAGGGAGGGAGGGGAGAGAGTAAAAAAACACAGAGCAGGAGCGGGAGGAGAGGCGCTCTCTGGGCTCAGTCCGCGTCAGAACTAAGAAGCGCTCCTCCTGAACGAAGCTCATTTAAGCCGCGCTGCTGCTTACATCAATGAGCGGCTGTCTCTCAGCAGCGTCGTCAAGGTACAACTCCACACAGGGCTTCGTCTTCCGGTTGAGATATTGTTTGCATTTAACCGGCGAACAAATGAGAAAAATCAAGAAAACATTCGAATAAAACCTTCGTTATTTATTTTTTATTTTTTTCCCGGGTTGTTGATTTATGGATGATTAAAAAAATGATGTTGACTTTTTATTTCTATTATTAAAGATTCACAAACCGTAATAAATAAATGTATAAAATAAAAACAACAAATGTTGAAATGAAATTTTGCTTTCATTTCACGCTGTGTGCACAGCGATTAGGCAAGCTGCGTTTTTGCTCTGTTAGGAGGAAATGTGTGCAGAATTAATAGGCAATGTTAGTGTGCAAATTATGACGCAATTTAATGAAACGTTTCCTACCCATTTATCAATTTGAGCAATAAACATCTCAAAAATATAATGAGATCACCTCTTTTGTCGTTTTGTAAAACAGAAACAGCCTCACATGTTTCAGTAACAGTCACCGTCCTTCCATTCATGGAGTCCATCAGTGTGCTGACCTGTTGATCAACTTTCTTTGGAGCAGCAACCACAGCCTGCTTCCCACACACTGTTCAGAGAAACCTCACGTTTAAAGAGTCCAAAAGTTCCCAACGTGTTTTCATCTTTAAATATTTTAACTGAGCAGCGCACTTTGATATATTCTGTGGAACACTGCCTGCATAAAAATCATGCGTGATAAAATTCAAATATGCAGGTAAGTGTCTTTAGCCCACAGCACTACCACATCTGACACTTCTACCTTGTTGTGATGTGAGCTGGAGTGGAGTTCTTTGCCTGGTACTCATCCAGTCAGTTATAGCCTATTGTTTCGTTATGGTTTCTCAGGGGTTTCCCTCTTTTTCTGAAGTATGTTTTCTTGTATTTGCTCTATTCTTCTCATTTTTCTCTCCCTTTCTTGTCTTGTCCATCTCCTCATCCAATGCATTTAAAATAAACCCAAAGTACTTTTTAATAGAGTTATATGGAGCATCATGGTGAACGTTGCAGTGCTGAACGTTGTGAAAGTAAATCTGCTGAGCTTCACGTTGACACTTGGACACCTTACCTACATTTTTCATGTGTCGGTTTTAATCAGTACATCCAAGTAGAAATTATTGAAGAAAAAGACACAGAGTTAAACACAAAAACATATTCAAAATATATTCACACATTTACAAAATGTTGTGCTGCCACCGGTCTTGACCATGTCTCTTTTGAAATTGATTTGTAACCTCAATAAGGCTAAATTCTCACAAGTTTTTAACTTAATTTACTTAAAATTCAAATAAAGTAATTTCTACATATTTTCCTCTCTGTTGAATCAGACATTAGCTAAAAAAAGCTACATTTATCACTTCATAGTGAAATAATTAAATGGAAGCCCCAACCAAACAATAATAACCTGCTAGCATGCTAGACTGCTAACATGGTAGCAACTCTAAACCAGCTGGAGTTGGATATGAACGTAAATGTTTCTCCAATAAATAAACATGGCCAACTGCAGACCTTATGCCTTATTTTATATTTATTAACATTACAACATATAAGTTTTTGCCTGCTGGATGCCAAACATGAATAATGACAGTAACCATTAACTGAACTAGCTAATTCTGATTAAAACATAAAGGGAGGATTTTATTTTTCTCAGGAACAAAGTAGAGGATGGGAATTAATTGTAAGTCAGCATTACATTTAGAAAGAAATGGCCAGTATTTCATATCCTCAAAAAAGTCCTTATTAAAATGTATGCTTTTACTTTTTAAAGATTTCCTGTTTTATTCAGTCTTTTCCTGTTTACCTTCATAATAGCTTGTAGACCCACCGGTTCCGTTCTGCTCCCCTCCTCCTCCTCCTTACAGGCAGCCAAGCTTCAGTTCAGTCCGCTTACTGTCGCTGCAGAGCGGGGAGGGCTGACTCACCACGCGTTAGGCTGTTCAGCAGGTCGGTTCCTGAAGTGTGGCGAGGAGCCCACTGGGATGCTCAGAGCCGCCTCTGGGGGTCCTCTGGAAAATTAAAGGCCGTTTAATTTCACTGATGCTGAACTCATTACACATTTAGACCATTTTTCCTCCATCTTCCCAGCCACCGCACAAACACGGTGTTCTTCTGCAGCGTCTTCAGGAGAGAAACGCGCAGAGGCGGTCGACGTGGGAGCGTGCGGGAAGCGGTTACAGTAACTCATAAAAAGAAAAGAAAAAAATCATAAAGCAGACTGACACGAGAAGAAACCTTTATTCTCAGCCAACATGTAAGCTAAACACGGTTAGATGCCTGAACATTCATTTGCAAGCAGAATTCACGATACAGGATCAATTACACGATAAATAATTAGCTTAGAAAGTGCAAACATTGATGGCGTTTAGCTCGTCGGTGGAAAATAAACAACATGGCGAGTCGGAGGGCGTGGCTCAGTCAAGCTTTTGAAGCTGCAGTGTGTGACTTTTACAAAAACGTATATGTTTTGTTAAAATTATCATTATGTGTTGACAGAAATGTAAGACAAATAATCTGTGAAAAAAAAAAATCCAGCTCCTTTGCCTCGTCCCAGAACTAACACCACCCAGTCAGAAACAACCAATCAGAGACAGGAGGAGGGTCTTAGCGCTGTCAATCACTTTAGATACAGCAGGCTCACCACAACATTTAGCATAGCTACCGATGACTGTGGAGAAATTGTTTTTCTGTAACGGTAAGTTGTTTATCCACCATGAGCATATTGAGCAGCAAGTACATGAGATTGATTGACAGCGCTAAGATCCTCCTCCTGGCTGTGGTTTTTTGTTTTTGATCAGGGGCAGAGTATTGTTGCAGACCGCAATAGTAGATCACTGAGGAAGAGGAGGAGCTAAATTTTTTCACAGATTATCCCTCGCATACAAAACTGTCACAATATGGTGACAGTTTTAATAAATATGGGGAAAAAAAACAACATATTTTTGCAAAAGTGAAACGCTCCAGGTTTAAGAAGACAGAAGAATCCAGTTTCAGTCACAGTAAAATGGGCTTCGCTCAGCAGGACTGACAGTGTTCAGACTGTTCCCTCAGCCCAGTGCAGAAGTTTTGCAGATACTTTTATTTTTTTTACTTCTGTGATAAGCTTTGATACAATCAGCTGGGGAAAATATGAATTTGCAGTCAGCAAAGCTTCGACTTGTACCGGTCCACTTCTATTCATTTTCCATTCAGCTTCTTGTGAAAATGTTCAAATTCACAGAAAAAGCCAGAAGTGGGAAACAAAAAATACAAAAATGACAAGAAATAACATGGATTTCAAGTTAACATTACCCACTTTCAACACTTGACCCAAGAGATTCTAACCTTTAATGAAAGTTTTACTTAAATGAAAAAAAACACGAAACATAGCAACAAGCAGATGTGGATTTACGTGCAAACACAAATCTTTGCTGAGTCTGTCCGGAGAAGCCGCTGCTTAAACCTCCACAGTGCTCCCCGTCAGGACGAGCTTCAAACACTGGAATGAATAAATCAAATGCGACATAAATATTTCACATCCGTCTCATTGACTGAAAAGGATATAAAAAAATAAGAAAAGAAAAAAGAAACGCTTTAGGGCACATGAGTATCAATTTATTGGCCCCTGAAATGAGTGTGGGTCAGACTAAGCATCTGGATGGGGGCTGGGGGGTTTGGGGCGTGTTTCTGTGGCGCAGCGCTGCTCCTTCACATGGCGTCAAAATGGAAGCGGTGGGCTTCCTGCCTCTTCTCTCGGTCGTCTGCTTTCTGTGGGACACACAGGAACACAAGGCACAGAGAGTCAGTTGTGTTGCTGAGGTCTACCTATCATGACATCAGAGCAACCTGTACCAGATGTTTCTGCTGCAACTCAACCTTACAGGAAAAAAATACAGTTTGATACCAAAAACGATGACAAACATCTACAGAAATTTAAAATACAACCAAAATGAACCATAAGTCTAGCCCAATTGTGATTCTAGGCAATTGATAACTATGATTGCATGATTGGATTAAAATAGATTTTTTTTTTTTGTAAATTGTCCTGAGACGACATTTGTTGTGAATTGGCGCTATGTACATAAACTGGATTTAATATTTCATGACATAGAAACAGAATATGAACTGTTGATTTTCATTGTTCCTTATTGTTGCCGTTTCATTCTGGGTTTCTTATTTTATTGGGGGTTTTTTACTCTTTGAAGTTCTGCACAAAAACTTTTGAAAAGACTGTTTGGTTTATGAACAATCTGCAAATAAAGATTTTATCTGGTAATATAATTCAGCATGCGTACAAACATGCTTCAACAGCAGAATTGTGGAACATTAAAAGCTTATTTACCAAATATAAAAGGTTGGGAGGCACTTTAAAGAAACATCAACACACACAAAACAATATCTTGAAGTTTCATTACAATTACATTTTCTTTATAGAACGTAAGGCAGCTGATTTTTATTCGGTGTGAGAGGAGATTTGGTGAACAAAGTGCAGCTTAGCACCTCAACCATATGAAGTCAGAGCTGTGACATGAGCAGATTGTTGCTTTGAACTGTGGTGCTGAAAAAAAAAAAAACAGATTCCATCATATTTGGTAACTATTTCAATTATATTAATCTGCAGAAGGAAATTGTCTGACACTTCAACGTCCAAATTGTGTTTGAATTTTTATTTACATATGGTTTAAAGTTCCAGATGACCTGATGACTGCATCATTGTAATGTGTTATTTTTTGTTTTTCCTCCCAGCCAGTTTTGGTAACGATGGATTTGGAAAAATTGGTCAACAGCTGAGATTATCCTTTATATGGATGCTCTGTCTTGTACATTGAAAATGCATAAATACAGTATTAAAAAAACCCAACCAAAAACAAAAAACAAACAAAAAGATACTTTCTTTCAAGTCAGTGGTTAGCAGTGTGTGCTACACCAACACCATGACTGCTGATGATTCTTTAATTGAAAGAAGGTGCAGGTGGTGTTGACCTCTGACCTTGTGTGTGTGTGTGTGTTTTGTAAAGTTTCATTTCTGACTCTTCACATCCTGGGCCGGTGTTTCTGCTCACCCCTGCATTTTAAATGAGCTCAGGCTGTGATCAGGCAGCAGTGCTTTTGGATCTTGTTTATTTGAGTTTCCTCTCCATGGTTGGCAGATAAACCTGAGATGTAGAGATTGAAGTGTGTGCACAGTCAGAGGTTTTCAGAGTGTCACTGACTACTTGCACGAAGGTTTGTTTTTGCAGTTCTGGTTTTGAAGCTCGTCATCCATGCATTGAGATTTCACCGCGTCCTCTTTGAATCCTTGGTGACAAAATCCAACAAAAAATCTGTCAAATTTCACAATCTCTGTTAATAATAATAATAATAATAAAAAAAATCTATGTAGATTTTCACAAAGCCGGGAGGAGCAGGGGGTTCAATAGTTTTGGTTGATACTTTAAACCAAACCAGCAGATTCTGGTGGTTTTCATCTGGGGGATTCACACCCGACCAGATCAGTTCACTTCCTCCACTTCCTGTGGCAGTGTCAAAGGTCATCTGAACTCAAGTCAGCACGGAAGAAAGAGGGAAAAAGGAAGAGAAAAAAGTAAGGAGAGAAAGAAAGACAAGAAACAAAAAAGGAGAGAAAAGAATGTGACAGAGAAATAGAAAGAGTAGAGAGAAAGAGAAAAATAAAGAACAAACGAAAGAAGAAAAAAGAGAAAGAGAAAGAGAAAGCAAAAAATAAACAATGAAAAAGAAAGAAGGAAGGAAAAAGTGAAACAACAAATGAAACAAAAAGAAGCAGAGAAAGAAAGGAAAACAAAAAGAGAGAAAGAGATAAAGAAACAAAAAGAGAGGAAGAACCAAAAAAGATAAAAGAAAAACAGAAATGAAACAGAGAGAACAAAGAAAGAAAGAAAAAGAGAAAGAAAAAAAACAAACAAAGAGAAGCAAACAGGTCAGTTATGTCTGACAGTCGTGTGGTTTCTCCTCCTCCTGTTTTGGTCGCTACGCGTCGGTCAGCGCTCGGTCTCACCTGCTGCTCGTCCTCAGCAGCTTCTTGTGATGACGCCCAGAGAAGCAGCTGCTGTGACTCCATGACCTTCTCCAGGTGGTCTGGTCAGCTTTCAGGAAGTGCAGTGTGAAAGTGAACCAGACCAGATGAAGTTGTGAAATATTTCAGCATTCCTGTCCAAATGCACAAATTTCCCAGAACCACTGAGGTGTGAAAGCACAATATTGATATTTCACACAGGACCTGTAGCTTGTGGAACAAACTGCTGTCACAACTACATTCAGATTTAATTCCTCTAAGATCCCAAAACGACATAGCAGTATGAAAAATTAACACACTTCTAAAAAGGCAATGAAATAAAAAATAAATTGCAATACATAATGTCTGATTAAAAACTAAATAATGAGAGGGCGATGTTTTAGAGAGCTGGAGTGTTATTTACTGCAGAGCAAACAGACGTGGTCGGTGTGTTTGACTCATTCACTAAAAAAGAAGAAATGTGAATCCCTAATATCACAAAAAAACAACATATGTAACCAGGTGATGACATGCAGGCTTAAGGGGGGCTGTAAATAATTTTCATCACCCAAAATGAAGCCGATCAGACGACTGAGATGTGACAAATAACCTCCTCTGCGCTCCTATCACAAAAACTAACCAGAAGCAAGTGTTCAAAAGGAACAAAGCAGTGAACGCTGGATCGTTTCTAAACTAAAAGCTAAGAAGATGGGAGGAAATTTCCAATTAACCAAAAATAACACGAGGAAATCCTCCACTAACAAGGGGAGGTTTTTGTCTTGTCTTCCAGACTAAACACAAAGGACAGTCAAGTGTTAGAATGGCCAAGTCAAAGTCCAGAACTAAATCAAATCTTTAATCTGTATCTTGAAGTCCATACAGTCTCTCCGTTCAATTTGACATGTGGTAGAAAAGCTTCTGCGAGGCACTGTGTCTGCTAGACACACTAATAAATAATAATAATAATAAAAAAACTGTTATAAATCTAGTGGCTGGTTTGTCTAAATATAAAACTGATTAAATGAGGAGTTTATATGACAATATAGAGTTCAAAGAACCTGGAAGGGCATTTCGTATGAAGAGATTGTTCAACACATACACACGCTTTTATCCTCGAGTTAGCCGTCAAACAGCAGTTGACGATAAGTGGTGAGCATTTATCACCTGGTCACTGACACGGGCAGGAATGTTTGGGTACGATGAAGAATAAATCAGCTCACTCATAATGTCAGCAGGGTCAAGCATATGTTGGAAACTGGTCAAATATTACGTATAAAAGAATCAATTTGAAAGAATTGGAGTATGTTCAAAAACTTTACAAAAGAACAGCTTGAGAACCTCAACAGTCTGAATGCTGTTTAGTGGCCGAGCTAAAGCCTCTTGTCAGCTCTGTCTCCACTGCTGCAAAGAATCAAGACAGCAAATTTATTCCCAGGCAGCCTTTTCACGTCCAGAAAGAACATTTGTAACCACAAACAGCTTCTATGTAAGTGTGAGGAAATTACCTGAAGAAGCACTTAGAAATGTGTGATCATATTCTGTAATTTTGTGTTTTGGCCAGGTGGACATAATTTGAACCACTTTGTACCGTTAGCAATTTCACCAACAGGAAAGGCTCACATTTTAAAATGTGTTTTGTAAGAAACATTTTTATTTGCAAAATATTTGAGTTTAGTTGGAGAGTACGGTGAATAAATGTCGAGAACAAACAAGATGGATGATTTCTTTGTGTATCACTGCAAGTATTTAACAGCCTTTAAGGTGTTAGTTTTGAATTTAGTTTATAGCTAGTTAACACACAAGATCCACTGGTGTTTTCTTTTAGCATAAACGCAGATTAGCTCGTTCCAGAATTTAAAACTAACGTTGAGGCTAACACCAAAGCAAACTACTATTGTCTTAAAGAACGTCTTTTGTTTAAATCAAATGCTATTTTAAAGTAAATTATGTTTGCATTGATAGATTATTTACACAGAAGGTTATGTTTACCAACAGTATTCACTTTTTTCAGATGACATTTGGTTTGGTGGTTCGGTGTTGGACTCGCTGTTAGCTTCACCCTCCAAGACTAGCTAATTTGAATTTAAATAAAATTAATATTCCAATAGCATCATCTGCTGTAGGTGAAATATTAACTGCTTATAAAAATTAACTTTGACATAACCTCACTAAAAAAAATCCAAAACTATGACAATATGGAAGCCTATATTTTAAAGACGGAGACATGAAAACAAGCTGCTAATTAAAAGCAGCTGAAAGTAAAAACAAAACGATTTAAATAATAAATAATTCAGACAGTGCAATCAACATTCCAAGATCACAGAAAACATCAGATTGGAAAACAGGCATCAGCTTTGAACTATCTAAGAAAATACTTTTTAAAACATTGCTCAACATATTGCCTAATTATCAGAGAACATTGCACCTAAAAATCCAGACTCCAGCTCTTCTTCAGCCAGACTGTCCGTTCATGGACGGACCTCCCTGGTTTTGAGTCCAATAGACGGACAGTGACATGTTTGCTCCATTTTTTTTATCCTGTCACTTTCAGTTTGGAATAAAGCCTTCATCTCTCTTCAAAGAAAGGCCCGTCTCATATTGAATGCTGTCCTGTTCTGATGCTCAACGTTTTCAGGAGCTGATGGACTGATTTCCTTTAGACGACCGATCCACCGGGGCTGATGTTGCTGTAATTGACTAGCCAAGGCGCGCCACCTAATAATCAACTCGAGGCTTGAATAATTATTAGGCAGCG